GATCCATCAGGGAAACGAAACTCCTCACTTTAACGCCACGCAACAACTACCCTTCTAAGCAAATCGACTGTTTTTTGCACTCTACACATCGACAACAGCGCCACCTCACCGCACCCATACCCTATTTACGCATGCGATCCCTTTTGTGAGTTTCAAGGTTAAGTTGCCACTATTTAATTTACAACCCTCGTATAAGTGATTTCAGTTTTAATTAGGTCAGATTGCCATTTTATTTGATAATATGTGGTGTCCTGAAGAAATATCTGAAACAGTGATGTGAAGGAAAAATGTATTAGATTTGAGCAAAAGGAAAGATTTTAATACAGAATGATTACTGAAAAAAAGGGAAGAAATCATCCAGAGTCAAAAAATTTCCTTGTTCCATTAAATGCCTGTTTTCAGACTCTCTGAATTTAATTTAGAACTATAACTATGTTACTGGAAGAAATGATAGAAAAATAAGCGATAGAAAATAGTTTAACACACAGATAAGTAACAGTATATATTTTGCTGTTCATTTCGGATAGCACTTTATACTAATACATTACTTTGAAAACTTGCTTTTTCAGTTTTTCTATGGCACAACGCATCGGTGTTTTTTTCTCCACAACTATCTTTTAATTACAGATATTATCTTTATTTTACCTTATTTTGAAGGGACAGTCAAAAACAGAATTTCTCACCAACTTTGGCTGAGATCTTTTGGCTCTGAAAATCAACAATGCCGCATGGAAACTAAAGTATGCCCATAATTAAGCATCGATGTATTAATAATATAGAAAAACAAAAGTTCGGGGGTGTTGCTTTCTTTAGATAAGCCTCTTAAGACATGCTTATATTTCACTTTCAAAGAAATTACCCCGAACTTTGAAATTTTCAACAGGGGAGGGGAAAATGTTTAGGCTCTTACTTTCACAATATTCACTTTTCATAACCTACTTTAAGACAAAAACAAAGTCAATAAAAAAAATAATAAAACTATCACACATTGTTTGAAGTTCAACATAAAGGCTCTTAATGACTAGTTTTACGCAATACCTATCCAAGCAGTGGTTGAAAATTTTCTCTTTTTATTAGTATAAGTGTAAAATGTTCATGTTAACTTGTATTACATTAAAGACAAACTTTCCTAGTTATTTCATTTTCAGTTAGACTTTTTAAATTAAAAAAGATCAGCTTTATAGCAATTTTGAAAATTGTAATCTTGTTTTAGACAGTTTTTACCTCGGGGAACTGGTACTGTTACCAGAAGACCAACCATCATACAGATGACCCCAAATCAACATGAAGGTAATCTTCTGTTTAATTTTCTTAATTTAGTTATAATACAATAAAAAATATTTTGTCGCGCATTTTTTTTTCTTTTTTGATGGAGAGAGTAGGATACCTTAATTTTTTTTTAATTAGAATAAAAATATATTTCTTTGTGTATGGGTGATTCTCACGAAACATGACAATTCGGACCAAAAAATTTCTTCAAATTTAAAGTCTTCAAAATAATCTGAAATTTTTTTGTATACTTCTTTAGCTACACTTATTAATATCTTATAGACAGCAGTGTAGTTTATTGACATTTGCTCGAGAAAAAAAAATAAAATAGAAATTCACCAAATCTTGAATGCCAGTAAAATGACATATTACCTTAGAAGTTTAAAAAACAGTCATTTTAAGTTAAAGACTTAAGTTGAGTTGCTTACTATTATGTTAGATGGACCATAAATTGCTTAAATTCTTTTTATCAACTGTAGAAAGAAACAAAAAAATTTTTGTTGCTGATATGTACAGAATAAAATTGTGTATAATAATCAATCATTAAATAAGTAAATAACTTTGATTACATCCAAGCATATTACAATCCAACATAAACTTGGTATTAGGTTAATATTTGCTTTCCCTCTTTACAGTATTAGTAGTTAAAAAGAGTTTCTGGTAACACTTCAATATCCTGGCATTCATAAGCCAGGAAAATGACAGCCAGTATAATGACAAATTCGCCATTGTATAGCATATAACTTTACTTTAATTTAATATTTTGGCCGAAGACGTATATATTCTGCAGAAAACAACAGTATTTCTCAAAATAACTCAGATAAATCTATGTAGTTTTTGTTATTAATGATTTCAAGAAGCCAGGAAAATGACAGCATAAAAACCTACTCACCTTGAAAAATTTTTTGAAATAGATTTTGAGCCAGAAAATTGGTTCTTTATTCATGCAACAAGACATGTTCAGATAGGAGGGTATCTAATCAATCTATTAACATAAGATATTGATTCCTGGCGCTATCTATTTTGGTTATAAATCACTAAATAAAAGTAGCCAGGAAAATGACAGATTTTCATGGGACAAACAAATTATTGACAGAAAAAATTATTTTAAACGAAGTTTTAGTAAACAATACCCTCTGCGTATATTCTAGAAATGCTTACATAGGATAAGATAAAAAAAATTAGATTTTGAAAAATGTATGGGAAGTTTTGAAGCTAGTTATTATTGAAAATATTGTTTGGGACATGCCAGGAAAATGACATTTTGATATTCAACTAAATTTTTTAACTATACAAAACAGTCAAAGCTAGTGCAAAGTCATTTTAAAATGCTAACAGCAATGCTATTTTTTTTTAAAGTTCTTTTAGTATTATAGTATTAGATCTTAGAGCAAGGGACAGTGAATATCATGTTTCGTGAGAATCACCCATATAGTATAAGATTGTTTATAAAAATGTTAGTTTAAAGACAATTAAGCTACAAGATTAATATCGCTTACTATAAATATTTAGAGAAATAATTTTTGTTTTATTCAGTTACGTGAAATTGTCATTTTATTCCGCTTTTTTTTCAATGATCTAGTTGTTCTTTAGTAAAATATCTTACTGTTGAAGCGAACTGCGAAAGCAGTTTTGTGGGTTCACGAACTGAGCAGGGCATGTGAATGCAGTGCCCTAGATATAGACATCTTAATCTTGTTATCTATTTTTACGAAACTAAAATGAGGAATTATAACGTAGTATATAAATCATGGGAGGAATTCAGAGAATATATTTGAAATGAAAGTAAAATCAACAGTGTATCTAATTTTCTTTTTTTTCTTTACTTATCTTCAGAGTATGTAGTGTTTTCTCACAAGCCAGAAGTCCGATTTACTGACTTCAAGAAAGTAAGAGAGGAGATTGAAACAGAGACTCGAAGGTATCCAGGACCTACTGGATTCACGTCAGATCCCATAATCATGCAAATATACTCTCCACGAGGTAAGTAAAACAATGAGTTCGTAATTTCTGTTTTAAAAAAATTAGAAGGCATCCTGTTTTTGAGAGATACAATTTCGTAGTAATCACCCTTATTTATGTTTTAAAAACTTTTAGTTTATCTGCTATAGTTTATTATATCTGCTTAAACTTTAGTTATATCTGCAATAGATTACAAACTAATATTTAAAGAGACAACTAATAGTACAGACTATAATATTTAGTCGTCAGATTAACATCGAAATCTGGCTATTCACTATTTAAAAAGGCAGGGCTGAAAACATTAAAATGTCTCGTTGGAGCAAACAGAGAAATTCTAAGGAGATTATGAACACAAATTTTATAAGCCAATCGGACATTGTTCAACGAGAACTTTAGTTGGACGTAGGCTTAAAATCAGATGGTTTGATTGTGTGGATGAGGATTTTAAAATACTAAGAATTACTAACTGGAAAACGCTCCGAAAGAAAAGAGCGGAAAGGTGCTTGCCCACAAAGGGCTGTCATCTCAATAGAAGAATAATCTAACATTGTTTTTTACCCGACCTTTTTCAATAGTAATTGTCGTACACTGTACATCGTGCTTCAAATAAATTAAATTAACCGACCTGCCCTTAATAGGGCATGTGGCGTAATTTTTTAAATTCACAATTTAAGAAATATAAAGTTTCACAGCATAATAAGCAATGATACAAATTACAGCAAATAGGCAATGATACAATAAAATAAGTTACACAATAATTCACCACTAAAAGTGGGTTGGCGGCAATTGCAAAATTAAATCCGTAGTGAATAAACCATAGAAAAGTAAAATTCTGCAAGGGGATAAAACACCAGTGTAAGGCAACCAAGTATAAAAGATTATTTTAAAAATGAGAAAAAAAAAGTTAAAAGGTGTTGAGATTGATAAATCTAAGGGAGCAATAAAATAAAGTAAATTGTAAAATCAAAAGCCAAAAGGGATTGCAAAATCAGAACAAGCTAAAATCAAAAGGACTTGTAAAATCTAAAATAGTTAAAATCAATTAGAGAATTAGTTAAAAATAAGAGAAGCCAAAAGGTCAAAATAAAAACAATTAAAATAAAAAAGGGATGCTAAGAACTAGAAAATTTGTTGTAATTCAAAGTTAAAACAGCCTAAAAAGTGGAGTTAAAACAATCACAACATCAAACCTAAACTGAGTAGACAAAATTCAGCAGGATAAAACGTGACAAAAACAGTGAGACACCCGAATAAAATGAGATATTGGTAAAACCCAAGTGGACAAGATAAGTGATTAAGTGCTTGGAGCAGGCAGGTTCTGAAGCTAGGTGATTATATTTGCCAACACCTCTTCAAGCGTGGTTTTGATGATTGTTTTGATTTTATTCCTGCAGGTGTTTTGATTTTATTCCTGCAGGTCCTGCAGGCAAAACCCACACTGATGTTGGGTTTTACCTTCAAATTGATCTCCACGAAGTATCTGGAAATGGGCGCAGTCAAATACGAGGTGGTCTATTGTCTGTTCAATTTGGCAATAATTGCAGTTAGGAGTATTGTTAAATAACCTGTGTTTGTGTATCCCAAATACCCCGTGGCCAGTTAAAAATTTATTCAGATAAGAGTCAGCCTGTAGGTGTTTTATTGAAGGGTCTTTGAAAAGTTTAAATGTCTGCCGGCCTCTATCAGAACTCTGCCACTCTAATTTCCACTGTTTCATATTATGAACTTTTAGAAAGGTTTTGATCTAGGCCGGTTGTAGTTGGGACCTCAATATTGACTTGACCGATGCTGATGGCCTGTTTGACTGCCTGATCCGCCTCCTCATTGCCTCTAATCTCGCAATTTGCTTTTGCCCAATGGCATTTGATGTTTTGTCTCCACAGTGATTTCGTGCCTTCGATGATGGCAAGTTTAAGAGTCAGGGTCGCCAAGAACCTGCAATGAGGAGAGCGAGTCAGTGTATATTGCAGCATGTGGATAGACCCTCTCTACAAGCGCCAAGAGAGCATGTTTAATGGCCATCAACTCGGCTATAAAAATGCTTCAATTGTCAGAGACTCGGGTGGAAGTTGCCTTAACAATGTCTCCATTTTTCTTCACAATTACACCATATCTAGTTCTGTATTTATTCATTAGTCTGTATTATTCATTTGTGCTAAATTCTTCATCGGCAACCCCCATCTTAGAGCCATCTGTAAAAATTTCAATACCTGTGCCTGTTGGATTCGTTCTCCCCCCGGGCACCGCATTGTAATTGGCGAGATGGATCCGGGATGGAGGGATGACTATAGGAGTAGATGTGAGAGTTAAGATAATGGATGGATCTAGGTCAGATAACCTCCAGTCACACTTTATTCTTTTGATGGTGATTTCTTTGATTTTAAGATGAATAGGTTTTACGCCAGCCAGTATCTGGAGAGCTTCTGTACTCGTAGTTTAGAATGCCGTGGTTCAAACTGGGTGAAATCGATGTTAAAATAATTAAAGACTGTGTTATTAAGTATCAACCACAAAATGGGACCTAGTGATGAGCCCTGCGGCACTTTCACTGAGAGGAGAGATGTTGCTTAAAATTGCATTTGCTATCTTCATCAATGAAAATAACCTTTATCACTCAAGAAGTTGAAAATAATTTTCACAAGATTGTCTGGAAGAGAGTTCGTTTATTTCTTTAAATTTCTCCAGTTTGCGTTGTTAATATACAGAGCCAGCCCAATACTATATTTGTCCTCAGTTTTGGCTTGTTCTACAAATTCTACGCAGTGCGTGAAATAGAGACCCTAGCTCCTCAAATGTATATCTAATTTTGTTGTAGAAACAATTTCATTTAACAATAATTGACTTTTGCACTGCTTTAGTAATAATCTTAACAGCGAGTTGTCATATCTATGAATGGATATGTCCTAGATCAGTAGTTCCCAATCTGAGGGCGATAATACTCGGATGGGCAAACAATGATGAGTATTCAGAAGAAAAAATTTGCAATTACGAATAAGAATTAAAGCCAGCGAATCTCTTCTCATCAGGGTCCCGTCAATATATCCTGTAAAAAGATTAGTTCGGTCGTCCAGCTTCTCACAAAACAAAGTAGGTTAGGCATTCGCTTCAAAGGAGACCTACGCTTAAATCTGACGAACATAAAGCCTGTTATTACTTTAACTGAAATCAATCAAGCACAATACAGTCATTAAAAAGGTAAAAATCAACAAGTGAGTTTTTCAATTTTCGGGTCTTATTTCTCACATTTTAGTTTAAATTTTCAAGTTTTCCAGATTACATTAAATTTTTTAAGCTTTTTTTAATTCTTGTATCAATATCGCTTCAAACATCACTTCTTTTTTATATAAAAAAAATTAAAATAGATAAACATTAAGTTTCTGAAGATTGTTTCATTATTTACATTTTGATTGAAATTAAAATTTGGTATAATTAGCATATATTAATTTATTGATGCTCACTTTCAACATTGTATGTTTTTTTTAAATCAAAAAGGACGATAAATGTCAGCCAACTTTTAGAGGGGGGCGGTGGGCAACAAATGGAAGGAAACCATTGTCCTAGATGTATCAATCCACGAAGGCGTATCTACTGTTTTATCTTTCAAACATTATAGCAAGCAGAGGGCTAAGCCCACTAGTATTTTTGACATAAAACTTTTTGATGTATAACAGTCATAAGCCATCGATTCCTTTTGAGTGTCCACAAAATACGATCACAATGAGTTATTCATTGTATCTGCTTAAAGTATAAAAAATTCTGTGGCATTAAACAGGATTAAAAGGAAATGCCAGCTGCGAAGAACTGCGTAAGCATTTTCGTGGGTCGATGAGCATCAGCGAGCTGGGTATTTAGATGTAATCCCCTAGATATAAACAGCCTAGTGGTCTACCATTCGTGTCAATAAAAGTTAACATAGGATGCGGAATTGATTCTGAATACGTGTATAAATGAATAAAAAATAAATTTTCAACTTTTGCCATTGTGAAAATATGTTTCTAATTTTAGTGTCAGAATTATTCATTATATTTTTGCTTATTTGTATGAATGACACTGATTAAAAAGATTTCTTTTTGTTAGTTTTAAAATTAACTGTAGTGGATTTGCCTGGTTTGATCAAGAACGTTCCAGACGGGGATGACCGTAGTAACATCCAGGAAGTACGAAAGATGGTCCTGAAATACATTGAGCCCAAGGAAGCGCTCATTCTTGCCATCATTCCTGCCACTCAGGATTTTCTAACTTGTGATTCCCTTGAAATAGCAAGGGAAGCGGATCCTAAGAGTAAGTCAGTTTTAACAATAAAAGGGTGCTCTGTAATAACCACCTTTTAACATACATGTTTAGTTTAAAAAATTCAACCAGTTATAAGGAAATGTTAATTTACAAATATGCGAAATACAATTACTAGTGATCCATGGAAAGACATTTGTACTCTCCTCCTGGTATTTACTGAAAGACGTTCAATATGTGTTCAGTTTTGGTCACTCAACGCGTCACCGTGCTTGCAATGTATCTGCTTAAGACTGTTGTTTTTTGTATTGTAATAGCCTTGCGCCTTAACCAGGTTTGAAATTTTATCCGGAAGATATCTTTCATTTATGATACTGGAAGAAACTAGACAAAACGGTAGAAACAGAACGAAGTGGAAGAAAATAAAAATGACCAATAAAATGTTTTGATAGTTTGTTATAAGCATAGCCTAAATTTAAAGATATTAAATTAAATACAGTGAGTGACATTTAAGTCTTTCATGCCTACTTTATTTAAAATAATAACCACTTTTATGTTATTAAGATTAATACAGAGTATTAAAATTTATATATTTAAATAAAATTATACATTATTATTTATAAGTTAGACTATTCAAACTTATCAGTATTTGATAATGAAAATTATTGTTATCTGTAATTGTGAACTCAATATAAGATTTGTATTAGTGTTGTTTATTGTATGTAAATTGTTAATTTATTAATATTAGTATAATTTAATTATATTTAAACAGCTCTTTATATAATTTTTAAAATCAGATTTTATTGTAAAAGATATGAAAATTAGATTTTTACTCATTTACATATAATATTGATTAGTCATCAATTTCTTAGGAAATAAGAAATTTATTTTTCTTTCCAGTTACTGCTCTTTTCCTATTTATTTAAAAATGATAGCATTAATTATCAAGCTGTTTTATATATATATAAAACAGCTATATTTTAATATATTTTAAACTTTATTGCAATTATAAATTGTTTTAATGTCTATCATTTCATTTTGAAAAGAGTTTTTTTCACTTAAGCTAAGAAACGCGAACATTTTCTCTGCAATGTTTTTAAGCGTTAAGTTATAAATTGTGATTATATTATCAAATTTATTACCTCTGATATTTAAGTTACTATTACAAAGCAATGATACTTCATGTATGGGACATTTTATGTCGGATAGGCCAAATTTCGATTTAAAGATACTTGAACAACCCAAGTACTGAAAAGTTTCAGATTTATAAGATCAAAATTTATAAAATTAAAATTCTTAAACTTTTACCTTACGCTAATATTGTACCTTCTGCGAATTGTTGCAATATTCCACATTGCAGGATGTAATGAAACTAACTCTACTTCGCAAACTTTCATTTTTAGTAACCTGTTCTACTAAATGATATTTTTAAAAAAAATTTGAAACGAATTCTTTAAAAAATTTAATTATACATAAGTTGTTTTTTATGTATATATATGAAAAGAGTATTAATTTTTAGGGGAAAGGACCATTGGAGTTGTAACTAAACTTGATAGACCTAATGATGGAGATTACAAGAGTGTTTTGGAAAATAGAAAAATATATCTACAGAAAGGTAGGAGGTGATTTGAAATTCAGAAGTGCCAGTATTTGTTAATGAGTATTTTAAAAAATTTCATATGTTTAAAATTTAATTTTAAGTTTAACTTACCTATAAACTTTCCGAAGAAGATTCCAAAAAGTAGTCAAAAGAAAATTTAATTACTATTGGCAGAAATATACTCTCTGTTTCATAAGGTCTTAGATTCCATTGTATGATAATAAACATTCAGAAATATGTTTAGTTTATTTAGATGAGGTTTTTTATAAATTTTATTTTGTAACCCTCGTTGAATAGCCAATCAAATTTTGAGTACACAACTACCTCTATGTTCATCTGCGTAGCCTTATGATTTTGAACACAGAAAACTAGGGATCAAGCATTGGGAGAAATTTGGCTTTGTGGGGAAAGTTTTGCTGGAACTAATCCGCATTTGTGTTTACACGGAGGGGAAATTTACGAAAACTTTCCATGGTTAGCCCTCACGGCAAGGAGACTTTAACCCATTATCAATGAAGATATTTTTTCATCAGCACTGTAGTTGGTGAGATGTTATTTAGATATTGTATTGATCCAGATCATTTTAAGTTAATTTTTTAATTTCAAGAAATCAATAGAATTCGTAAATTTTGAGTGAGATCTATGCCCTTTATAAAAATGACATTTCACGCAAAAAGCGTTAATGTCAGCAGTTGTGTAGTTACAGAATATTTAATTTATTTAAAAAACGTAAATGCGATCATTATGTTAACGAATATCTTATGTAACAGGGCTCCGCATAAAAAAAATTGGGTTCCTTAACGGACCATTCAAAAATTTTGTAGTAAAAATGGATCTTATACAAAATATATTATCGCAAAAAGAGACCTTTTATAATTAAATTAGATTTCTCACACATATATAGCTTATTTTATAAAATATCTGTAAAAGTCCTTGGAACTTTATGACCAGTTTTTATTAACGTTATTATGAAAAGTAAGCTGAAATAACTAAACTAATAAAACTTTTTTAAAGGCTTACGTTTTAATATTTTCTTTGCAGGATATGTTGGTGTGGTGAATAGAAATGACACTGAAGACGAAATAGACTTGGAGGACATACTTCAGAACGAGAGAGCATTTTTTGAAAATCACCCAGCTTTCAAGTAAATAGTTTCTTTGGGCAAGTTTAATTTTGTTACCAAATAAACCTCTTGCCAAGCGAAAGAAGACACTCTTAATAGCGTCGAAAATAAAACAGCGATAACAACAATGCCGATCGGAGTTAATTATGCGAAAGTAATTCGCCGAACATTGTCAATCTAACCGAACCGATATCTCAGAAAAGAATTGGGCTAAGAAGAATACATTTAAACAAGAACAACGCGCAGTTGTATGATTTTTTAGGAACATAAAGTAAGCATAATGCGTAGGCATAACATTTAAACAAGAACAACGCGCAGTAGTATGATTTTTAGGAACATAAAGTAAGCATAATGCAGGAGGTTAAGTCTAATTGTAAAAATATTTATGGAAGTCTTGTCTAGTACAAATGATGCAAGTTCTGCAACTTTTGAACTAGTGATCAGATCTTCACTTTCGAAAGCTTTATCTTAATGGTTCGAGGGTGCAACCTGATACGATAATTAATTAGTGGAGACGCTACTTTAAGTTACGAAATCAGAACACAAAAAAGTACTTTCTCTCAATAAACACCTTTTTTTCTTTTCGACAGATTCGGATTTCTGGCTCTCAGCAGATAGCCGTAACCAAATATCCAAATAGTTTGGTCAGGAGAGCTATCAAAAGTTAGGACAAATTAATGTTAATTTTACTTTTTGCATATTTCGTCATATCTTAAGAGCTTTTTCACTAAAATAAGGAATATTATGTGCAAAATACTACTTTTAATAGATATTTAATACGTTTTATTTTATTTAATAACAGTAGAAAAAGTTTTGAATTGCAAGGTTCGCAATATTTTACATCATTTTAAAAAATGCAATTTTAAATGGCAAAATAAAAAATTTGAAAGAAATTGATAAGTTCCTGAAAAATAGTTTTGAAAAAGCCAATTTTTAAAAATTTTATTTCTCAGTAATAATTCGGCCAATTTCACTAAGGCTTTGTATTTTACCTTTTGAAAATTACATACTTAGTAATCTAAAAAATTGTATACCTTTACAATTCTGAAATTTTTTATTAAATAAAATAATAAATATTTACTGAAAGTTATATTTTGTATGGTATTATCTTTTGGATAAACTAATTTTATAATTGTGAACAAAGAAAATTTTCAATTCGCTTAAAGTTCTTGATGCGGTGAAATATGCAACACTTACAATTAACATTAAAAGGTCCTAACTTAGAACCGTTTCCTGACCAAACTAATGGGATCATATTCTTAGATTGTGGCTACCCCCTATATTTCGAGGGTCGGAAATCCGAATCCGTAAAAAAAAAGGTGCCTAGTATTGTAACTTAATATTGTCTTATCTAACTAATTAGCGTATTTAAGGTCACTCTGTCGAACCATTAACATTAAGTCTTCGTGCTAGAAAATCCAAACATTAGATCAAAACTCATTCAGGGTGGGTTTTTTTCCTTCTATATTTCACGTTGGTGTATACAAGGATCATCAACCATGGTTATATTCTATCAAACCATTAATAAGTCAAATCAGGCCCATTAAAATAAAATAAAAAATTTTTTGCTCTGAATCGATTTTGGATATTTTCGGATTAACGCTTAACAAAACTTGTCAACGTCAGTTTATCTCGAATTTGGGTTGGTAAAATTTTATTTCAAGAATATAATAACAAATACACTCTATAACAAACAAATCGACGCTCGATCAGGCTGGAATGATGTCGACTGGGGACGTATAGTCTTTAGCGACGAATCCCGCTTCCAACTGTGTCCTGACGATCATCGAAGAAGTGTTTGGAGACGCATAGGGCAGAGGGAGAATCCTGCCTTCACTATTGCACGCCACACTGGCCCTCAACAAGGCATTGTGGTTTGGGATGCCATTTCCTTTGGCAGCCGGACCCCTTTGGTCGTCATTAGAGGTACACTTACTGCACAGCGGTACGTCGACGACATCCTAAGACCTGTTTTCCTACCGTTCCTTTTGCAGCGCCCTGGGCTGGTTTTTCAGCAGGACAATGCCAGACCACATACGGCACGTGTTGCTACGAACTGTCTGAAAGCTTGTCAAACTCTTCCTTGGCCTGCCAGATCACCAGATCTCTCTCCCATCGAGCATGTCTGGGATATGATGGGAAGGCGATTGCATCGGGCACGGAATGTTGATGACCTCGTTCGACAATTGGATCGAATTCAGCAGGAAATACCGCAAGAGACCACCCGGGAGCTTTATCGGTCTATGCCACGCCGTGTGGCAACTTGTATCCAGGCCGGAGGCGGGTCAACACCTTATTGAACTTGTTACTGTAACTCTGCAATAAATTATTCAATTGTTCTGAAATTTCAATCATTTACTATTCTGTACATTGTCTTCCTATCCACCAATTTTCGATTCAATCAGGCAACTCCTTCTTGGTGCGTCGATTTTTTTGTTATAGAGTGTATATGTAATTTATGCCTGCTTGTTTTCTGCAAGAATTTTAATGCTTTTCAATGAATATAATACAAAATCATATTCATTGAAAAACATTAAAAATCTTGCAAGAAAACAAGCAGATGCTATGCACAAAAATCATTAAAAATACTCCTATATAAGAGTTTGGGTCAAATAAATACACCCCCAAATATTTTGAGTTGTGTTTTCTCAAACAAACTAGAAACATGCAGATTAAGCAAAGTAACAAAAACGAGGAATGCATTAGAGCTTATTTACTGAAATTGTCACTTACCTGTTCTTCCACTAAGCTCTCCATGCGTTTTTTTATTAATATTCTTTTTTTAAAATTAAGGAAGAACAGATAGTCGGGTGTCCGATTTTGATAAAACAAATGTATTCCTTTTAAATAATTATAGCAATGTATTAGGCAAGTTTTTAACTTATTTATTCATAATGTTTCGTTTAGAGAGGTGTATTAAAATCTAAGCTGTTTTATAAAGAGCTTGTTTTCTATTTTACGTTTATTTAGGAGCCTTAAACATAAAATGGGTATTCCTTATCTGATTCAAATGCTACAAAAAACTTTGAGGACACATATACAGCAGTTTTTGCCGCAGCTGAGGACAGATATATCTCTGAAACTTGTCGAACATCAAAAAGAGCTGAAAAACTTCGAAACTAGAATGGGAGATAGCATAGGTGGTGGCAAACCACTGGGCAAGCAGTCCTATGTTATCAGGTAAGTCAATGAAAAATTCAAATATAGACTTTTTGAAGGAAGGAAGGAACTGCAAAGCTTTTTTAACTTTTTCTTAAAAATAGACAATAGACTTTTCCATTTTCTTTTTAAAATTTTTAAGCAGTCCATAAGTTATAAGAAATATTTATTTTCTGGTAATTCGGGTAATGAGGAAACGATGATTATAATACGATCGATCATGGAATAGACCTCTTAATTAAATTTTGTCTGATAAAGGTATAAATACTACAGAAATGTTAAATTCTTAGTGCAGGACATATCTCTTAAATGTACATTTTTACCTAGCTTAAGTAATTAATGGAAAATCGTAAGAAGTCAAGAATGTGAGTCAAGATAAATTTTCAAGGGCTTGTTCAAAGTAAAGATTGTCAACCATGATCGTCTTTCATAAGTGTTGCGGCCTAGTTAATTTACAATCCAGTGGCCTTAAACAATTCTCTCTCTCTTTTTGGAGATCTTCCTCTTTGCTGTAATTGATTGTCATTATAGAAGGTTGATCGCGTAAAGCTAAGCACAGATCACGCTAGTGGTTAAAATTCGTCGTATGACTTTCGGGTTACTACTTTCGATTTACGCCCGAGCTTGAAAAAGAGCTCCATCTAATGATATTATACTTGTAGTGCTTGCATTATAATGTATTCTTTCAATTTAAATTTCGACGAAGCAAAGAGTGATATTGTACAGTATAGCCAAATAAGGGATAACATTCAAAGCATAGCAAACCTTGCACTTTATGTTGTGATATTTTTCCTAAATTTGTTTTAGGCTTACGACTTGTTAGAATTTTTAAATTACAGAAATTTCTTATGAATGATAAAATTAAACGTAAGCACAAAGCACACTAATAGAACTTCTTAGAATATTAAGCCTATTCACATATCTCCTCATAAATAAGCGGANTTAATGATGTGTTTCTGATCTAATATATATAATTCTCTTACGTGGCTCCCAAATTTTGGCTGAAGTACTCTGTACAACTAAATAAGATTCCTTTCACAACAGTTAAATATTTACTTTTTTTTCTTCATTCATAGAGAAAACAGTCGGCAAAGAATTCTGTTAGGTTAAAAAACATTTCGCTAAAAAAATAACGAATTCCAAAAGAAATAAAGATAAACAACTTAAAAAATAAAAATGCTGTTGCCAGCCATAGAACACTGGCTCCTATTCTATGTAGGATTTTTCGATCCTGCATAGCATTTGGGTATATACCTCTCTCTTGGAGGAATACCAGGGTGATTTTCATACCAAAACCAGGTAAGGAGAATTATTTTGAGGCTAAATCATTCAGACCAATCAGCCTCACTTCCTGTCTGTTGAAAGCGATAGAAAAGCTAATTGACAGACACCTCAGAGACACTGTGCTCATAGAAAGGTCACTGTCCTCCTCACAGCATGCCTATCAACCAGGCAAGTCTACAGACACCGCTCTGTATGAGCTCTCCTACCTGCTTGAGAAATCTATCACAGATAAGGAGATGGCTCTCGCGGTTTTCATTGATATTGAAGGTGCGTTTGATAAAGTCCCTGTTGAGACTATCATCAATGCACTTAGGAACAGAGGCATAAACTCAATAATTACCAGATGGATAGCGAATTTGCTTTCCTCTAGGTATGTTTGTTCCTCTCTATTGGATGCAAGCATGAAAGTGCATGCAACTGCCGGATGCCCCCAGGGAGGGGTTTTGTCCCCTATCCTATGGTGTATGGTAATGGACTCCCTGTTAGTTCGGTTAACTGCTCTTGGCATTCCCTGTATCGGGTACGCTGATGACGGTGTTATTGTTGTCAGAGGCAAACATGGAAAAACTGTCTCTGATATCATGAATAATGCACTCCTAGAAGTAGCTAGGTGGTGTTTTAAATCAGGCTTATCTGTCAATCCATCCAAGATAAGTTATGTAGCCTTTACACGGAAAAGGCAACTTGATCTAGGTAATGTATACTACCTGGACCATAAATTGGAACTCACAGAGAAAGTCAAGTTTCTCGGGGTTTATTTTGACTCCAAACTAAATTGGGGTCTTCAACTTGAATACTGCACCAACAGGGCCAGAAAAATTTTCTGGTCTTGTAGAAATGCTATTGGTAGAACATGGGGA